TCCATTTATCTCCTAGAACATAGGCCCCGGCTGTATTCCACTTCCTGGTGCTCCTTTTTTCCTCAAATTGTAGATTTTTTTTTTCTTGTTCAGGTTGCTCCTTTTCATTACAAATCTTCATTAAAGTTTACATGATGGAGTCAATTCTAGGCTGTTTTGAAATTTCCTCTGCCAATGGAATTAATCTAAATCTTTTTTACTTTAGCCTCAGGCAGATTCTTCAAATAAGGGCAAAAAGCAGCAACATTCTTCAAAAAAGTATCACAAGACTGGCCTTTGGCCACATACAAACATTCTTCTTCTCAGAACCCTCTTGAGACAGGTCCCAACATTTCATCAAATCACATTCAGCACCACTGTCTTCCATGCTCCTACTAGCATGGCCCATTAAGCAACCCTTACAGCATTCTACTGCTTTCCTAACCCAAACACCCAAAGTTCAAATTCCTACAAACAAAAGCATGGTCAGGCCTGTCACAGCTATATCACAGTCCCTGGTACCAACTTCTGTTTTAGTTAGAGTTTCTACTGCTATAAAGAGACACCATGACCACAGCAACTCTAATAAAGGAAAACATTTAATTGGGTGGCTTGCAGTTACATAAATTTATCTCATTATTATCATGGTGGGTTATTGTGGCACACAGACAGACATGGAACTTTACATCCTGCACCAAAGGCAACAGGAAGTACACTGAGACACTGGGTATGGCTTAAGCATCTATGAGATCTCAAAGCCCACTCCCACAGTGAAATACTTCCTCCAACAAGGCAACACCTTCTCCAAAAAAAAAAAAAAATCATAACTCCTAATAGTCCCACACCCCATGAGCTTATGGGGGTCAATTACATTCAAACCACCACAGATCCTGTTTTTATTATCTAGTATTACCCAAAGAGGTAGGGAGATAAACTTAAGTGAGGGAGAAATGGGGAGGAAGAACAGACAGAAAGAGTAATGATAGAGAGCAAGAGAGAGAGAAGGGGTTCTTTTCTCCTTGAAATGTTTCTGTAAAGATCACAGATTTATTCCCAAAACAAACTGAAATGACTGCTTGGTACTTCAAATTTTGAAGTATTCTTTTTTTAAAACCCAAAGGAACACTTAAAATAGAAATTCCAACAACTTTTTATTTTCAAGACAGGGTTTCTCTGTAGCTTCGGAGCTTGTCCTAGAACTACCTCTTGTAGACCAACAGACTGATCTCAAAAGTCAGAGTTCCACCTGCCTCTGCCTTCTGAGTGCTGGGATTAAAGGCATGCACCACCACTGCCCAGATCTACATATTTTCTTTTGCTTATTATGTGAGACTTGTAAGGACAATGCTTTCTTCATAGACATTTAAATTGCTCCAAGTGGGGAAGAAACAAATACATGTATTGATTAGGGGTGTTCACTGGGTAGAAGCTTATGTAAGGACACAAACTCAGTGACCTTAAAGTATCTAAATGGTACTATGACCCAGGGTATCTTTTTTTCTCTTCATTTTAATTTACAGACACTACACTTTTAAAGAATGTATGGCATATGGAGGCACACATTGAGCTCAGTAGCTTCAGATCGCTATGAGCTGGAATTTTAAGTTGGGACAACCTGATATTGGTGCCAAACCCAATCTCCAGTCCTCTGCAAGAGCAGCAGTACATGTTCTTAACAACTGAGCAATAGCTTTTGCCTTTACACTGATTGTACAAACTGAGTTTGTGGCAGCCCTGTTCTGAGTGGGTCTGTCATGCTATTGGAAACTAACTTAGTGTGTTTGTGCCACAACTGCTGATTCTCTTATCTCTACCCTATTTTTGAGACAGGGTCCTTGTTTACCAGACTGGGTACAAACTCTACATATCCAACAATAACTTTGAACCTTGCTTAGATTATAGTTGTATGATACTACACTCAGGTTATGAAGTGCCTAGTGACAGAACCCAACATTCCCTGCATGGTAGATAAGCACTCTATCAACCAGTTTCATCTCCATCCCTTTAAAGTTTACATTACATGTGTTATGATTTTTGATCTGAGTACTATGACAATTGTTTGAGGCACCTTAAATTTCACTGAAAGTTGTGCAGATTCTTCCATCAACAAGCCACTGCACATCTCTTTCCACCTTACCCCATTCCCCAGCCTGTTTATTCAGAAACACGATATTGAAATTGGTTTCACAACTCTCAGAATCTTTAATTGTCAAAGTGAAAGAGTCACATAACACCCACTTTAATTAAAAGCTAAAAATGACCAGTCTTTATGAGGAAAGCATATGGAAAGCCACAATAGGCAGAAAGTTCAATCAACACACAACAAATGTTAAGCCAAGCTGTGAATGCAAAGGTAAAGTTCAAATCTATGAATACCGATGGATGAGGAATCTTCAGCAGAAAAATTTAGTCAGGAGGACTCGGTTCATGACATTTAGTGAAAATCATATCCATGACATAAAAGTGCAAGGTGAAATATCAAGTGCTACTATCGAAACTAATGCAGGATCCTTAGATCTAGCTAGAATAATTGATGGTAGTGGTCACATTAAACAAGAAATTCATAATATACACTTATATTGAAAAATGATGCAATCCAGTATGTTCATAGCTGCAGAAAAAAAGTGCCATTCTTCAAAATGTGAGTTTCAAAGCATAGGCTGCAATTATGTTCTGTGCCTTTGAGACAAGCCACACCCACTCCCTTCCTATTTGCAGTCTCCCTCCCACCCCATCCCCTCCTCCCTCTCTTTCTCTCACTCTCTGAGAGGCAGGTTGTCTCTCCTCTCTCTCCCCCTTTCTGCCCTTTTCCCTTCCCTTCCATAACCACTAAATATCCAACCTCACTCTCCATGTCGTGCCTCTCCATGTCTCTGTCTCTTGCTGACCACATCTCCCTGCCCAGGGACCAGCCACTGCGCTGGGACTGAGAGACATTTAAACATCAATAAATGATTGAGACTCTCTTACAAACTTAAGGTGATGAAACAGCTGCAGGGTTTGTGAGATTAATTCCCAGTCTTCTAGTTCTCCTTTTAGTAAGATGTTATCAAACAGCATTGCAGCAGCAAATTATCTGATGTAAAGAGCCATCTATATGGTAAACTTCCATTCTGAAAAACTATAATCACCCAACTTTCAGTACTCACCACCCTGGGCAATTAGCGGCCATAAATACTAAGGCATGGTCATCCCCAGGAAAACCAACTGAAAACAAAACCCCCAAACATATGCCCTAAAGGTTAAGATGAACAAAAACATTTTTATCAATAGCATTTTAAAATAAAGTATATATACAGTATTTTCAAATATACTATTCATCTTATGGTTTTTATTACTATGATAAAACATCACAAACAAAAGCTTTAGGGAGGAATGGGTTTATTAGGCTTACAGGTTATAGTCCATTATTAGGGAATCCAAGGTAGGAACTCAGAGGAGGATCCTGGAGGCAGGAACTGAAGCAGAGTGCTGCTTACTGGTTGTTCCCCCTAGCTTGCTCATCATGCTGTCTTATGTGCAGGAGCGGAAATACCCACAGTGGGCTGGGCCCTCCCACATAATCACTAGTCAAGAAAATGGCCCACAAATTTGCCCATAGGCAATACGATAAGGGTATTTTTTTTTAAACTGATGTTGCTCTTCCTATATATGCATAGCTTGTTTCAGGTCGAGAAAAACAAGCAAAAAGCTCCACTAAAAGTAAGAAATAAATAAATCAGGATACTGTTACAGTAACTATAGAGTAAACATAATTTTTGGATGTACCCAAAAAAACAAAAATTAAAATAAATCATTCACTTCATTATTCTAGTCCAGATTCCTACTTATTCTTATACAAGCAATCCTAATAAAACTTAGTGGTCAAAAAAAAAAAAAAAAAAAACAACCTTAGTGATCATCCTTTAAAAAAAAAAAAAGGCAAGTGAGGTAAGACCAAAATATTTTAAATACATGTATAAAACTGTCAAAAATAAAGTAAAATACTTGTTCAACATAGTATTCAAAACTTACTACTTGGTGCAGAATTTAATAGTATCTACTATGAAGAACCACCTAAACATACCTTTGCACAGACACCTCAATATTTCAAAGAAAACACCCCAAACCAAACCCTGACAGCAGGCAGATATTTCTCTTATGTCTTTATCTCAAAATCATCCCAATTCCAATCTAAAATACTTATAATATCAGTGGGAAAAACTGTCAACAGATTTTCTTTTTGAACTTTTCTCAAATACTTTGTTATTTACATCTTTTATTGTGCAGTGACATTTGGTGGGGAAAGGTAACTCTTGCCTCTTTGGTACTACCCCAGTTGTGAAAGACACAACCAGGAAGACAATCTTTTTGCTCCATCACTGCGCTGATGAACCATAAAAGCAAACCCACAGGGTTGGTCTCAAGGCTTACCAACAAAATAAATTAGCACTATCACTCAGTGAAGGATTTACAGACACTGTGGAGAGCACAAAAAAATTTCAAATCTAGTTTCATGTACCTATCCAGGGTTAGGTTGGGAATAGCTATTGATACAATTACAAAAGTAAGAAGAACTATTTGCTATAATAATAAAATAGCTTACTTTACGATTAGACTATCATTTACTCCATTTTAATATCTCTTAAAACTGTTATCTTTCAGTATAATTTGAACTACACACAACCTCCCCGGACAAGACATTGAACCATTTTTGTTTCCAAGGGATTTATTTGTCCCTTGATAACCTGAGGGGAGAAAGTTGTAAACATCCATTGTTATTCTTAAAAAAAAAAAAAAATCCCAGGGCGGGCTGGTGGAGCCCTCCATGAAAAAAGCAGTTACAGCTTCCCACCAGGGGGAGGGCACGCGCTTTGCAGGCGGTAGCTGCAGGTAACAGACACATAAACACAGGAAATAGCCATAAGTATTTATTAAGGAAGAGGGAGGGAGGGAGGGAGGGAGGGAGGGAGGAAGGAAGGAAGGAAGGAAGGAAGGAAGGAAGGAGGGAGAGAAGGAG